CACGACAAAACAAGCCACCACAATGGGAAGCCTCTGCACTGCAACTAGGAGTAGCCGCCCTCACCACAACCAGAGAAAGCCTGTGCACAACGGCGAAGGCCCAGCATAGCCACAAATAAACAAACAAAAAAACTACTTAAAACTTCCTGACCACACATTTACTTTTACTTGTTTACAGCTTTTACTATGCCTTTTGCCTAAAATGCCCTATATCTCTTCCACTTACAACCTGTATTGGGTTGGCCACAAAGTGGTTTTTTTTTTGTGGTTTTTCCATAAGATCTTACAGAAAAAGCTAAAGGAACTTTTTGGCCTACCCAGTATTTGTTCCTCAAAATCTTGATCAGGTGCTAGCATCTCTAAAATGTTTCTTCTAACCTGCCTGTTTAATAATTTCTTCCTCTTGCAATATTTCTGTACTTTATATTTACTTTTATTACTGGACAAATATAATTAAAATTATGTTTACTATTGTGCCCAGCTCTTTATAATCCTGATTTCAACATCCTGAAAGGCAAGGGCCTCTTCTTTCCACCTCCAACAAAATCACAGGAGCTGGCACACAAAAGATACATTTATTGAATTTGGTTTTTTAAAAAATATTTATATTCCCCAAGCACACAACTATCTACTCATTCAAAGACCTGCTCTAAAATAGAATGTAGCAAAATGCAAAGTGCACTAGAGATAATCCTCAATTCCCAAAATGCAAATGTGAGTTAACAGTGGTTATTAGCAGTTCAAAGTTGCTTCATTGTTAAGTGCCAGTCTACTAACTCATCATCACCACAACCAATTTCGTTTAGAAGGTATATTTGTTTAGGAAACAGAACTGGTTTTAAAACATTAATTTAAAAGAACTAGAATACATCAGGAGGTTAAGTAAATACGTTTATTAAATGAATAGCCTAAACTGCAAGAAGCAGGTTTTATAAATGCCTGAGCCTCTTGGGTTCCTCTACCAAAGTTCTCAGAAAAAATTCCACTATGATATCATTCTTCTTGACTATGATCATCCTAGGGTCAAGAAAGATGGTAGCAGTAGCCATCCCTCAGTCCAGGGAACCATAATTAGGGCACTTCAAAACTGACATACGTGTAAGGTCCTCAATCAAGAACCACCAAATATATCCCTTTTTATAAAAACAATAGTGATCTTCCACTAACATAATCAACCAGTAAGCCTGGTGAAAAAAGAAATGAATACAGTGTGGTCTCACTGAAAAGTAGCTTAGATTTTAAAAAACAAAAGCCATAAAATGAAATGGCACTGAGCATGAGTGACTTAGTATCTGGTGAAAATTTTATTGTATTTTTTTCATGTTCTGTTCCTCAAATAACACAACTACACAATATCTTTCACTTTGGCGTCTATAAACTAAGGTTCACAACCATTAAGTGCCAGGAACATACCCAAACTTTGCTATCAACAAACTTAATACATATAAACATTTTTTTTCTTCATAGTTCAATACTGTCTCCCATCTCTAACCTGCAACATCTAATTTGTGTGGATTGAAAAACCGAAGCAAAAAGTACAAGCAGGTACTGAGTGAGGAAATAAGGGATTCTCCCATGAATAAAGCACACGTATTTTCATTAGTCCCAATGATCTCTTCCTGTTCAACTTCTGAATTCTTCATTCTTATAAAGAGTGAAGCCACCTGATTGATATCTTATAGCTAAGTGTGTTGTTACCAAGTATGACATCATCTTCCGTTAATCGGGATCTGACTAATGCAAACTTATGTGTTATGAACTTGTTGAGAAAAAAAAATCTGTATTTCTACAGATTTTTTTATATTTTTAATTGCCACGAAGTTTAATATTCTTATAGCTGGCAAGTCAAATTTATCAAACTGACTTTTCAGGTTACACTTATAAGCACGTTTACTGTGTAAAAAAGCAGACAATAATGAAAAGTGTAGCGAATATTTCAGTGGCTGTCCAGAAGAGGAAAGACGATTTTCACATTAGCGCGTCTAATGAAAGCCATAGCACTTACTCAATTGGAGACTCTAGCTAAAGTTAAAAATGAAAAATCTAAAAGAAGGTGGAGAGAAAATACAATTTAATAATCCATTTTTTATTACTGTTCAATATCGACCAAGACCCCTAAGTGTTAGAGATGACAAAATTTCTAGAAGACTGCTTATTGCAAACAATAACTGCCAAAAAAAAAAAAAATCAAAACCCTTCTCTTTTTTCAATAGCCAGCGTGAGGAGGAGGAGCACTTTATTCAAGAAGTAATTCACTATACCTCATGCACGAACGAAAGCCAAATTTCACTCACAGGCTGTTAACCGATGCTCCCAAACTTACTCGCGCAAAGTACATACGAGAAAGAAACAGGGCTGGGAGAGACCGAACTCTGGCAAAGAAGCGGTTTCAAAACCTGCAACGGAGAAAAACAGCGAGTCGGATAGTTGCTCCAGAAATTTCCGAGCGCCTGGCTTCCCAGGAGAGAGAGCGATGCCCGCGGCGGGGAGGGGGCGGCGGCACCTGTCACTCGGCGGCCCCGCGACCGCGGTCGCCCCCTGGCCCGGCCCCCGCGGGATCTCGGGAGGCGCAGGCAGCGCCGGTGCGCCCAGGCCTGGGGTCAGCGCGGGTCCCTCTCCGTCGCCCCCGAGCTGGGCGCCGAGGGCCTTCCTGAGGAGCGGCCCTCCCGCGCACTCTGCCCAGTGGCTCCGGCCAGCGGGGCCCGTCGCCTCAGGCCGAGTCCCCAACTGCCAAGCCCGGGGCGCCCGGAGCGGCGCGGCCGGGCCGCCACCACAGTCTCAGGGGCGCCGGAGCTGACCCCCCGCGAGGCGGCCCGCCCTCCGCGTACTCACCGGGCCTCCCCGGCCGCCGGCTCGGCCCTCCTCTCCCTCCTCCCCCTGCCGCCGCCGCCGCCGCTCCGCGGCTCCCGGGGCGGCCGCACTGGGCGTTGGGACTGCGCTGGGTCAAGTGTCGGGGGGCAGGGGCGGGCTCGCACCGGGTAGGGGTCGCGCGGCGGCCCCGCGAGCGGGCGCCGGGCACTAACGGGCCCCGGGGCGTCGGGCCGGGCGGACCGCGGCGGGGAGCGCGGCTGCGGGCCGCGGTGAGGGGCGGAGAGAGCGCGGCCGAGAGCCGAGGGCGGGAGGGAAGTCCCGGCTAGGGGGCGGCGTGAGAGCCGCGGGGCGGAGCGGGGGAGGGGCCTGGCGCGCCCGCCGCCGCGCGCTGGGGTTTGTTTATTTTCTCGGTTGGTTGCGGCGCTGGCGCGTGGGTAGAGGTTCGCCGGTGACGTGAGCGCCCAGAGTTGGGGGAAAGGACCAGAACCACCTGCTGGAGAAGGGGAGCTACGGGGGCCGGGCAGGGTCCAAACGTCTCACGTAGGCGGCGGCGCCGCGGTCTTCTGGGTTACCGGGAAGGGGAGAGCTTTCCCGGAGTGAGTGGGAGGAGGGAGGTCTCCCGAGAGAATGGGACTCCAGGCCATTCCCCCGCAGGTCGGCGGCTTCACCTGCATCGCGGAGAACAGAGAGCCCTGCCGTGGAAAGAGGCCCGGGGAACGTGGGGGCCCGAATTCCCAGCCGTTTGGGGGCCCGACCTCCGGTCGGTTAAGTAGGGATAGTCCTGCAAACAAGATTTGAATAGAAAGGCTGCATCAGCTCTCTGCAAGGAAAATAACGAACATCGATTAGTTAGTTCTCTGTAGAGTTCTCTCCCTTAGTGTTCCATCAAGTAGTAGGATTCCCGTTGCCCAAGCCAAGTTAAGCGACTTAGCCAAAGCCTCACGTCTAATAAATGGCAGAGCAGGAACCCGACTGTCCTGACTTCGGATTCTTTGCTGCTTACTGTTGCATCACGTTATCTTCCTAAATCACTTTGATTTCAACTAATAGTAGACGCCCCCATAGGTAAGACGCTGCAGGGTTACTGAGGGAAGTTGAAGATGTTATCCTTGCCTTTAGAATAAGGGATAAAACAGTTATAATAGAAGATAAATCGTGATAGGTGCCACGTGAGAAATACAGAGTACTGCAGAATATCAGGAAACTGCTCAGACCAGTCCGGGGAATGAGGAAAGAAAGGCAGTATGGAGGAGAAGGCGTTTGGGATTGACCTTGAAGGAGATACGGATGAGAAAACATGAGAACAGGTATGAAGGCGAATCAGTGAAAGTCGTGTTAAGGAAAAGCAAATGGTAACACTCTAGGGCATGTTGAGAAGTGGCAGACAGCGAGGAGAATGGGGCCTAGAATGCTAAGTGGAAGAATTTGTATTTAAAACATTACTTAGTTTTCCTGGTTTAAAAGATTGGAGGTTTACAACAGGGACCTACTGTGTAGCACATGAAACTGCTCGATGTTACCTGACAGCCTGGAGGGGAGCTGGGTTTGGGAAAGAGTGGATCCATGTTTATGTATGGCTGAATCCCTTCCTTCTTTACCTGGAAGTATCACAACATTGTTAATTGGCTATACCCCAATACAAAATAAGTTAAAGATAAAAAATAAAAAATTGGAGGTTTAAAAGCTTTGCTTTTCTTTCACCTCTTTGTAACTGGATACAGAAATTAGAGGTGGGAAAATGGTAAGATAAACTTGCAATAGGCCAGGTAAAAGGTATTGATAAATCTGGACTAAAAGGTAAAGGCAGGAGAAATTTTAAAGAGCTTGGCTGAAAGGTAATGTGGAAGCAGAATCTACACAATTTGGCAATTGAGTCATTGGTTTTCCAGTAAAAGGGGATAGCATAACATGCATGAAGGAGGAAGAGAAAAATAAAAAAGGTATTGGAGAGTTTGAGTTTGGAGATAGTTATAGAAGATAGAAAAAAGACAATTATCAGTAGGAACAGGAACTACTTTTTGAGAGATCAGTTTGAAAGTGAAGTCGCTCAGTCGTGTCTGACTCTTTGTGATCCTATGGACTGTAGCCTACCAGGCTCCTCCCTCCATGGGGTTTTCCAGGCAAGAATACTGGAGTGGGTTGCCATTTCCTTCTCCAGGGGATCTTCCCAACCCAGGGATTGAACCCAGGTCTCCCACATTGTAGGCAGACACTTTACTGTCTGAACCACATGGGAATTCGAGAGATTAGTTTAGACTTGGACATTTAAAGGTCTGAAAGGTTGTTGAGTCAGTCAAATAGAGGTGGACAACTAAGCACTTAGATGTAAGGGTTTTGAAGTAAGGGAAAGAGGGTTGAACTAGAAGATAGTTTGGGAAGTTCAGCCTAGCAGTGATAACATGTGAGAGAAGAGAGAAAACAAAGGACAGAATCTTGGAGAACATCATCTTTAGAACCTTGTGGTCAATGGCCCAGCAGCACTGGCATCACCAGGAGGTTTGTTGGAAAGGTGGAATCTCAGACCTGCTGAATCGGGTCTTTGATTTAACAAGAACCCCAAGTGATTGTATCACCTTGAAGTTTAAGAAGCTCAGACCTAGACGAGAAAAGCCAACAAATAAAGAAGGGATTTCATCTAGATAGAGAAGTCAACAAAGAAAGAGAGGAAGAAGTGGGAGGAGAACCAGAGCAACACAGAATCACCATAGCAAGATACATTGGAGTTTCACAAAGACAGGGGCAGGAAGGAGAGTTGATCGCAATATCCAAAACCACAGAGGTCAAAAAAGCACCAGGAAAGAAGGTATGTTTGAACTTGTAATTAGGTGATATGGTCATTATGACCATGTTGTTCTAACTGAAAGCTTGTTCCCTTTGGGAACAGCCTGGAAATATAATCCCTCCAGTCTCCATATGTATGGGACATCCTGAAGTAGTCTTGTGGATTTTATAGCAGGACAAAGTAGACGTTCTTTTCTAGTTGCTTCTATTTTCTCAGTGAAATAAGAAACAACATCATTTTAGGGGACTGCTATTTGTCCATCACAGTGTATTCTCTCATTCTTCCTGGGCACAGAGACTATTTTTCTCAGGCTTTCTTTCAGTTGGGTGTGGTCAAATGTGAAGTTATTGCTACTGGAATGTGAGCAGAGATGATGTGGGCTACTTCCAGGCCACTATGCCTCCTTCATTCATTTTTTCCTTCCTGCCAGCTAGATTATGCAGATGACTACAAGACCTTGGGATTGGCAGACAGTAAGAAAGAAGGTGTAGAGATGAAGGAGAGTTGCCCACTGACCTGGAATACCCACTCTGGATTATTATGTGAGCAAGATACAAATTTCTGTTGAGTGGGAGCTATAACATTTTTGTTTGTTACAGCAGTTTAGCTTACTCTGGCTCGTGTAGTTATTAACTGAAAGTAGTGAGGGGGGTTATTGGGGGAGGGGGAGAGGAAGAGAGGTGAAATACTAGTCTGTGAGTGTGGGAGAGGGAATTGAGGGAAACAAGGTAAGGTTTCCAGGCACTATTAAGGGCCCACATGAATTTATAATGAGATCAGTCAGTATAGTGAGGGCTCCCCTGGTGACTTAGACAGTAAAGAATCTGCCTGTAGTGCAGGAGACCCAGGGTTGATCCCTGGGTCAGGAAGATACCCTGGAGAAGTGAATGGCTACCAATCCAGTATTCTTGCCTGGAGAATTCCATGGAGAGAGGAGCCTGGTGGGCAACAGTCATGAAATAAGTCAGTATGATCACACATTTTTCTCCAGCCAGATTTGGTTGCTCATGTGCAGGTACTGAGTAGGCAGTCCGATTACCCAGGCCTGAGATTTGGTCAGGCAAGTATGATGGGGAGAAATGGGCAAAGGATGGTTGAAGGTAGATGCAAAGGAGGCATTCCAATTTCAGACATGGTAAGAAGTAAGGCTTTGAGAGGGAAAGGTGGAGAACTGAGAGCAGCGGGGAACTGTGAAAAGGTGGGAGAGTGCGTGGAATGTGTTTCTCAGCAGGTTGAAGAATTGCTGGAGTTTAGGTACCGTAGAGAATGACCTGAAAAAAGAAGAGATGGGTTGGAGAGTAGTTGGCTTGAAATTAAAATTAGAAGTAACGACAAGGCATAGGGAATGACCATAAAAGTGGGTACCTGAGATAGCAGAGGGCAAAGATCATTCCAAGAGAGGTCGAGGACTTGGGAGGCAGAAGGATTGAAAGATATATCTGTGTCTTGCAAAGAATTATCTGCGAAGTAACAGTGGAGTTGGAGTATGAGTGGCCTTGGAGAGAGTGATAGTGAACCTTGTCCTAAAATCTACAGAGAATGAAGAGCAGAATTCTCTGAGTAAGGGCGTTCAAGGCCATCAGTACTTTAAGATATTAAACTCTGGCAGTTATGTTTCATTTACCCAAGCGTTTTAGTGTTGTGTTACTAATGTGGGATTTGTAATTGCTTCTCTTTGACCCCTCAGATTACAGACGGTAACTGCTTTCTTTAACAGGAAAGGCCCATCTGTCTGTATTATAAAACAAACACATGCCAGGATTCCCAGTTTAAATGACTCTGCTTTAGAATTTGTCATAAATTACTCTCTTCTACCTCCAACATGTATCTTCAAATAGACACTTCAAAAGTGATGCTAGCCTTGCCACAACAAATAATGTGCTGTAAATACTCAACATCTATGAGAAAAACCTCAGCTATAGCTTAAGTTACCAATAAGTATAGATTGACTAGAGACCTGACAAGTTGAAAATAAGATTTCCTGGGACTTCCCTGCTGGCCCAGTGGTTAAGACTCTGAGCTCCCAATGCAGGGGGCCCAGGTTCAATCCCTGGTCAGGGAACTAGATCCCACATGCTGCTACTAAGACCTGGTGCAGCCAAATAAATGAATAAATATTTTAAAATATTAATATGTATATATATATATATAAAATAAAATAAGCATTTAAAAGATGGTTTAGGGACTTCCCTGGTGGTCCAGTGGTTAAGACTCCATGCTTCCAATGCAGGGGGCACAGATGTGACCCCTGGTTAGGGAACTAGGATCCTGTGTACTGTACAGCACAGCCAGAATGTTTTTTTTCAAGGACCATTTAGCACATATTAAGCACTCAATAAAATTTAGGTGTATTATTGTACATATATCTACATCTTATAGAACTGCCTATAGTCATACCTGGACTTTTCCTACTTAGAAAAGATGTTCACTACATCTGTGATGTTAATGGTAAGGAGACTTCTGGTTAAACATGGTTCATTATCACACATTTTTCTTTTCTCACTACTGATACCTCATTAAAATGAAAGAGAAGGGATTTTTTTTTTAAAGGTATAAACCCATAAAGACAAAGCAAACAGGAAAAGAGATCCCTGCTGAAGAAGGATGTCAACAAACTTAGGAACATGGAAGGAGATGGATGAGTGATAACTAGTTTACCCAAACTGAGAAATTTAGTACCTAAGTTTTCGGGAGGGGTTTGAGCCAGCCAGGGTGAACCTTTTCACATCCAGACCCTGGAAAGGCTCTGAAACTGGAGCTACCCCCACCTCTGAAAGTAGTAGAGCCTGAAAATGAGTAGTATGATGAAAGTTTTGTATTATGTATTATTGTGAAGAACAGTGGGGTCCTTCTTACCCCCAGTCCCTATCTCCACTGCCTGCTGCCTTAACTCTGCATTCAGGAAGTTTGCTTTCTGGAGGGTTTGACTCAGAGCTCCTCTGGATACCAGGCAGAGCTGAGGGCAGGGGTGACTCACTCCTTAGAAAAGCAGAATTAAATGAAGTTGTGCATATTGAATTAGGAGACATATTCCCATCACCCCACCCCCACCAGTTTCTTTTCCAAATTCAGATTCGTGCTGTTATCCTGTCAGGGAATTAGAAGCTTCCTCTGGGTGGAAAACCAACTGGTACACAAGAAAAGGCACACAAATACTGATAATTGAGGAGAATGGAGAATGTGGCTTTTCACCTCCTTACAGTGAAGCTCGACAGTAGACAAGTCCTAGTCCCACTCGCAGAGACTCTCATCAACTTTTAATCATCTCATTCTTAAACATGGGTGGAGTCAAGGGTCTCCAGATATTTGAAGACACCTCTTTACATGAAAGAACCTGAAATGAACAAACAGGAGAAAGAAAGAAAAATAGAAAAAGGCAGAGAGAGAGGCAGAGGAAAAAGGAAAGAAGAAAAAAGAAAGGAAATAGAGCCAATTCAGGGAGCAGAAAAAGATGTCAGAGCAAAATTTTCCTTGCCTGTGCTCAGGAATCTGCTAGAGAGAGGTGTGTGCCAAGTTGCTTTAGTCACGTCCCACTCTTTGTGACCCTATGGACTGTACTCCTCTGTCCATGGGATTTTCCAAGCAAGAATATTGGAATGGCTTGCCTTGCCCTCCTCTAGGGGATCTTCCCAGCCCAAGGATCAAACCCGCATCTCTTATGTCCCCTGCATTGGCAGTAGGGTTCTTTACCACTAGAGCCACCTGGGAAGCCCCGCAGAGAGGTATCTCATCAAAATAAGGGTAGAAACCAAGAAAACCTACCTGGCTTTCCTCTTAACCAGGAGCACCAGCAAAGGAGAAAGTAGGGAGAATTCCTGAGATAAAGGTGAAGGGAAGTTCGAGGAGGACAGCTGTGGAGCAGACCCAGAGCACAAAGCATTTGCTCTGACACAGAATGCAGGGCTCCAGGGAGGGATGTCTCCAAGAGAAAAAACAGAGCAGTGGCAACCGAAGCCCCCCACTTAACATGATCCATTTCCTAACATGTTGGAACCTTCTGTTTCACAGCTCTGGTGGAACATGGATGAAACGGTGATACATCTAGAGAAAACTAAGCAACCCAAGAAAGAAGGGACTATAAGTTCCAGGGAAAACAAAACAAGTGTGGTGGGCTGTATGACTGTTTGAGAATACCTGATGTTACTTCCCTGGAGGAGAGTTATACTTCCCTGCCCACTGATGTCAGACCTGGCAGTGTGAATTATGGTGGCTAAGGAAATATGATCACAGGTGAATGCGCCACTTCTGGGCAGAAGCATTAGGGCCCCGTCTCTCGGCCTGCCACCAGGCGGACCCTTGCTGGAGGCTGCCTCTGGCCGTCAGAGTCCCAGGTGCTGACACTCTAGCGTGAACTGCAGCTGGCCTGCTGCTGACATGCAGTGTACATGAGAAGTTACCTTTTATTGTTATAGGCCACCGAGGTTTTTGTGGTAATTTGTTAATGCAGCATAACTAATCTCTCTTGACTGGTAGAACATGGAATGCGGTGGACAATGTATAAAATAGGGGTTAAAATATATACAGTAAACACTGAACAATATGATATATGTATACTGGGAAATTAGGAAATGGCATAAAATAGCTAAAACAGAACAACTAAGACATGGCAGTAGAAGGATGCTCTTCAGAAACATGGAGTTAAATAGCAGGACAGCAGTCTCCTTTGGGAAGCGGGCATCGCCTGTTTCATGGCCAATGAAACAGGGCCTTCTGTTTCTTGTATGAGCCTTGTAATTATATGACTCAAACCATATCACTGTCACATTGAAAAAATTAAAATTACATTTCTTTAAGGAAAAATTAATGCCAAGCAAGAAGAGGGAAAGGTTATAGTTTTATTGTTTTTAATTCAGTTAGTTGAATTGTCTAATCATGAATCACCCCATAGTAATATTAAGATTGTGAGTAGAACTACTCCTGATTAATACTTTTAAAAAATACCTTTTCCAGGAGAATTAAATAAATCAAAGCACTTAAGGCTAAATTTTCTCATTCCACCTTCACACTGCCCACTACAAAATTGAAATGTTAATATGGCTTTGATAGTATTTTGACTCAGCTACCTTTTCCCCTTGCCCTGACTGTGGTGTTATTTATAGTGTACTATTTATATGAAGTCAAATGTCACTAACTTGAAAAATGACCTACATGAATATGGAATTGTTTCATGAAGGCTATTTTATACTTCAAATATAATTTTTAAAATACCCTCTCTCACACTAGACCAAAAAAAAAAAAAAAAGTATTTTCCTCAGGAGTTTTGCTTGAAATCAGTGTAATATATAAATATAGACATAGATATCACCTATTAGTTATTTGCAAATAATTAGTTCTACACTCACTGTGGATGGTGATTGCAGCCATGAAATTAATGACCAACCTAGACAGCATATTAAAAAGCAGAGACATTACTTTGCCAACAAAGGTCCGTCTAGTCAAGTCTATGGTTTTTCCAGTAGTCATGGGTGGATGTGAGAGTTGGACTATAAAGAAAGCTGACCGCCGAAGAACTGATGCTTTTGACCTGAACTAAATGTGTTTT